AAAAACTAAATATACATTTTCTGTCCACAAGGAATGACAAATCAGAAGATGAAGGTGAAGATTCCATCCAACAAATTCAACAACAATTGGATGATCTCCTGAAGCAATGTCATGAAGTCAGTAATGAAAATAAACTCCTGAAAGAAAGAATCAAAGAACGAGAGGAAGAGAACAAAGAAGTTATATCAAAACTGAATGACAGAATTGATGAACTTGAGATGGAGATTGAAGTCTTTGAAGTGGAACAGAACTTCGCACAAAGAGACATCGACAATCTCAAAGATCTGTTGAAGTATTGGCAAGACTATGATGGTGAAAGAGCAAAAAGAATCAGGAAAAATCTTTTTCCAAAAATACATGCTGATGATCACCAAGATATTTCACCACCTGTTGGCACAATGTTTGAGGCTTCTATCAGTAAGATAAATCGCACTGCATTTCTTCCCTCAAATAGATTAGATGAAATCATAAATGCTCATCCTTCTAATCCCTAAAGAATTTGTTTGGGGTATACTGATGGACAATCTAATGCAAACACTGGTTCAAACCAGAAAATTAGATTCGTCAATCCCACATCTTCGCATGTGACTACCCAAACCCATCCTACTAAGTTTATTCCTATCTGTCACTTCTGTCACAAAGTAGGGCATGTCAGGCCTAAATTCTTTAAAAGATGGAAACTGATAAATAAAAAGTTAGCATATCAGACATCCAATTCCGTTGCGTGGGTTAGTTACCCCCAAAGTAAAAACTCTTATAAACAATGGTGAGAAATGATAGTACTAACTGCTGGTCAGCTATTTTATCTTTAAATGCATGTGCTACTAACTCTTGGTATTTTGATAGTGGATGCTCCAAACACATAGACAGGTGAAAGGAATTTCTTGTCAAATTTGCATAACATGTCTAGTGGACAAGTTACTTTTGGAGATGGAAATAAGGCTTATGTAAAATGAAAAGGGGACTTGAGTGTTGGAGGATTGCCAAACCTGAACACTGTTCTGTATGTGGAAGGTTTGAAATCAAATCTTCTGAGTGTAAGTCAGTTGTGTGACCTATACGACTCAGTATTGTTCACAAAGCGTAAGTGTGAAGTATTTGATGAAAACAAAAAAATGTGTTATAACTGGATACATGTCATCAGATAATTGCTACAAAATTGATCAGATTGATAAATCAGATCAATGTCATCACACTTCTTCTGACCTCACTGATCTCTGGCATCGGAAACTAGGTCACCTAAATTTTCATGATCTAATCCGTCTTGTTATTGCAGGCTGCGTGAAAGGGGTACCACAACTGAAGAATGACACACCTGAGTCATGTGGTGACTGTCCATTGGGAAAACAAGTACGGATATCTCACAAGAACATAGATCATGCAGGAACTAGTAGGACCTTGGAACTCATTCACATGGATTTAATGGGACCAATGCAGACCGAGAGCATTGGTGGAAAAGGTATGACTAGTTTGTGTTGATGATTTCTCAAGGTTCACTTGGGTACGTTTCATTAGGGAAAAGTCAGAGACCTTTTATGAGTTCAAAACTCTGTGCAAAAAATTGCGAATTGAAAAATTCAGCAATATTGGAAGAATTCGAAGCGATCATGGAAGAGAGTTTGAAAGCTCTTCATTCACAAAATTTTGTGATAAACATGGTATCTCACACGAATTCTCAGCACCAAAGACACCACAGTAGAATGGTGTGGTAGAAAGAAATAACAGAACTCTCCAAGAAATGACTCGCATAATGCTTATCTCAGCAAGAGTGGCCACAAAGTTTTGGGCTGAAGCTATGAGCACTGCCTGTTACACCATAAACCGTGTACATCTCAGACCAGGTACCAAGAAAACTCCATATGAAGTATGGAAAGGTAAGAAACCCAACTTAAGTTACTTTCATGTCTTTGGGTGTGAATGTTACATCTTGAATGATAGAGAACAACTCGGTAAGTTCTCTGCAAGAGGAGATAAAGGTACTTTTCTTGGTTACTCTCTAAACAGCAGGGCTTAACGCGTTTATAATGAACGTACAATGACTGTCATGGAATCCATGAATGTAAGTTTTAATGAAGTCTTATCTGCAGGAATGGATGAGGAAGACTCTAGTCCTGGAAAAACCATTGTACCAGTACAAACTCCAGAAGTCAGCACACAAGAAGTGACAGCGGTGAAGGAAAGCACATAAGAAAGAAAAAGGCCATCAAAACGAGTTGTAAAAAATCATCCTTCTGAACAGGTGATAGGAGAAATTGATGAAGGTATGAATACTCAAAATAAGCCCAAAGTTGATTATCAAGAAATGGTCAGGTATGTTTGCTATACTTCTACTATAGAACCAAAGAACATCAAAGAAGCGATTCTTGATGAGTATTGGGTACAAGCTATGCAAGAGGAACTTGAACAGTTCACTCGACATGAAGTGTGGGAACTTGTTCCACGACCCGACCAGGTAAACGTTATAGGTACTAAATGAGTGTTCAAAAACAAAACGGACGAACTTGGTAATATAACTCGCAACAAAGCCCGTCTTGTTGCTCAAGGATACACCCAAATTGAAGGAGTAGATTTCGATGAAACATTCGCTCCGGTAGCACGACTTGAGTCAATACGACTTTTACTCTCGGTAGCTTGTGCTTTAAAGTTTAAACTTTTTCAAATGGATGTAAAGAGTGCGTTTTTAAATGGTCTTTTAAATGAAGAAGTGTATGTCGAACAACCAAAAGGATTTCAAGATCCACTCAAACCTCAACATGTTTATAAACTTAAAAAGGCCCTATATGGTTGTAAACAAGCTCCTCGGGCTTGGTATGAGCGACTTACGACTTTTTTAGTTGAAAAAGGATACATAAGAGGTGGGGTAGATAGAACGCTATTTGTCAAAAAATTTAAAAACGAAATCCTTTTGGCCCAAATCTATGTGGATGATACTGTGTTTGGGTGTACTTCTGACCACAAGAAAGATGAATTTATCTCTCAAATGTCAAAAGAATTTGAAATGAGTATGGTTGGAGAGCTAACATACTTCCTTGGCTTGCAGGTAAAGCAGATGAAGGATGGAATTTTCATCACACAAAGCAAGTATGCTAAGAATCTGGTAAGTAAATTTGAGTTAGATAATGCGAAGCCTCTAAAAACTCCAATGAGCTCTACTAAAAAGTTGGGACGAGACTGTGACGGCACAGACGTGGATCCCACATTATACAGGAGTATGATTGGAAGTTTACTTTATCTTACTGCTAGTAGACCAGACATTTGTTTCAGTGTAGGAGTATGTGCTAGGTACCAATCAAATCCTAAAGAATGTCACTTAAGTGCAGTCAAGCGCATCATACGATACGTGAGTGGAACTCTTGAACTAGGGATATGGTACTCCAAAGATACTAACACTTGCCTTGCAGGATACAGTGATGCTGACTGGGCAAGAGATGAGAAAAAGTACTACAGGAGGCTGTTTCTACATGGGTAACAACTTAGTATCTTGGTACAGTAAGAAACAAAACTGCATTTCCTTATCAACTGCTGAGTCTGAGTACATAGCTGCAGGTAGTTGTTGCGCTCAACCTCTTTGGATGCAACAACATATGTTACATGACTATGGCTTTCATGAAAAACTCTTGCATATCTTCTGTGATAATGAAAGTGCTATAAATATCTCAAAAAACCCTGTCCAGCATTCTCGAACCAAACACATAGATCTTCGACACCATTTCATTAGGCAATTAGTTGAGCATAAACGTGTGACTATAGATTATGTGTCCACAGACAATCAACTTGCTGATATTTTCACAAAGCCTCTTGATTCCCTTAGGTTTGGTTCCTTGCGTAAAGCGCTTGGAATTTGCCATGTGCAAAACTGAATTTTCTATGATAGTGCAATTAATACTTATGTCCGGATTGCACTTGATTTTTTTACTCGGACATTATATGTGTCACCTGCTAATGTGACATCATTTTTTTGGAACAGTAAAGATGGGAGTTTCATTTTGACAAATGGGTGTGTATTAGTTTTTGTGAATTAATTTTTTGTTTCCACAGTTAGCCATGATAGAAGTGTGATGCCCCCTCTATCGGGAGTGATCAATGTCTATGACCTCATTCATCTCAAAGATCATATCTTTATTGGAAGAATTATGCTACCGCATATGCATTCTTGACTTCTATTTAAAAGCTATGTGGATTCTTAAGCAGTTTGCCCTCCTAATGTTTGCTTGAACATCATATAAACTAAAAAAAAAAAACATTGTAATTCGAATCTACAATGAAATATATATATATATATATATATATATATATATATATATATATATATATATATATATATATATATATATATATATTTGGGATGATATTCAAGCATATATTAGCGAAATTCTCTTTGAAGTCCATGATCGAATTGCTGTGCTAATCGCATACGCATTCATAACCCTAATAAAATTACCTAATTTATGGTTTCTTGAGTATGGTCACGGGGTTATAGTTATATCGTGCATCCAAGAGTTTGCTCGGTGACCTTCTATTGTGATTTTCTTTAAGATCATCAAATTAATTCATGAAAACCAAGCCCTCAACTTTTAATCTTGTGATCTTCTTGATTTTCTTTTCCTTAAAAGATGTGATTTTTTTTCCTTTTAATTTTTTTTTAGTATTTTTTATATATATATATGGGCTTTGTGAATTTTTTGGTTCCTAGTTGTCTCTGGCCACGTGGCTATGGCCATGTCATCTGCCTTCTCTATTTTCTGATGTTCCGTGTGGAGAATATCTTGTTTGTTATTGGTCACGGATTTTGTGGGATCTTCTTCTGATTTGAAAATATCCGGTATTTGAAGAGTCCTCTCTTTTTCTGCCTCTTTTCTCGGTCCATGTGCTTTAAATATTTGCCCCTTCTAGGGTTTCCCTCTCTCACTTTATTCTCTCTTTATTTTCACCCTTCTCTCTCATCTTCTCTTTTCTACCGCCGTTCTCTCTCTCGTTTCTCTCTGTGTTCACTATTCACCATGGGCAAAAATCGATCTGCTGAGGGATCCAAGAAACGACGCCACACTCCCTCTGCCTCGCCTGCTGAGAAGAAGTCCAGAAAATCCTCCAAGAAAGTTCGCCCTACTGCTGTGGAAGTCTCTCCTGTTCCCACTGTCACAGATCTGGACCCCATCTCTACTCCCATGGCTTCACCATCACCGAGTCTCAAGACAAGTGATGTGCCCGATCATGTTGATACTGGAGTGGCTGATCTTGACGGTGACAGCCTTTCTGCAACTCGACAAGATGATTTGGATCTTCCCTCAGATCCAGAGATTGCCCCTCACAACGTTGTGTTTCCTGCTCAACTCCGTCGTTCTAATCGAAAACACGAAGGCCCATCTGTCTTCATTCCCCCCTCCGAGTCTGAAGGTTATCAGTTCTCTTCTTCTGAGCCTATTCCGGAGGATGACCCCTCGCGTTCTGAATCCTCTGATTCATCTGTGGGCTCTCAACTCTCTGCTGGTAACTGTTTCTCATCCCTTTTTTATTTCTCTCTTGCTAAAGAAAACTGGAATAGTATGAGTAAGCGTGCGTGCTCTCCTGAGCGTGTTTTGTCTAGGGCTGTTTTACCTCTGTCTGAGATTTTCCGTCTTCTAAAATCTCAAGGGTTGCTTGGCACTATTGTGAGTGCACAACCTTTCGAACGGTCTGTCATTGTTGAGTTTTATGCCAATCTCTCTGATCGTTTTTCTGTTGTGGGGTCTCGTGGTTATGGGAAAGTGTATGTGAGGGGTTCCTTCTATTCTGTGACTCCTGCCCCGATTAATGATTTTTATAAATGTCCAAACGAGGTTTCTTCCAAACCCTCTGTTTCAAAAGATACTTTGGCCTTTGTTCTCACTGCCAAAGTGTTGAAAAAATGGCCCGGTCCGAAGTCTGCTTTACATGTTTCTAAGCTGACTCAGCTGTATTCGGTCCTGTTTAAGATAGGCATTTCCAACTGGTTTCCCACTACTCACAATGCTACTCTCAATCCCACCCAAGCTGAGTTTTTATGGTGCATCACTCATGACCATAAAATCAATATTGGTGATTTGATTTTCAATCAGATTGGTGTGTTAGCCAATTCCAGAACCGAGCGTGAGCATCTGCCCTTTCCTTCTCTGATCTACCAGCTTTTGATCAAACAAGGCCTGCCCACTTGTGATGCCACTCTGTTGGATCCTCCTGGCCGTCCAATCACTATACATGGTAAGGTTATTTCTGAACATTTTGCTGATATGCCTGTTGTGAACCCTTCTGTTGTTCAGCCAGTCCCTAGTGCGAAGAAGGCTCCTATTGTCTCTGCCTCTATTCCGCCGCCAGTTGATGTGGTCACCAAGGATGAGCTCACCCGTTTTGAAGAGACTATCCAGGCCTAGCTTGCTCAGGGGTTTGCGTCTATTCAGGATCAGCTGCTTAGGACTTTAGCACATTCTGGTCAGAAAGGGGGAGTAGCAACAACTCGAACTCCTGCGGCTTCAACCAAGACCAAAGACAAAGGCAAAGAGAAGGCATCCCTCCTCACTCCTCCTCCGCACATCTCTCGTGATGAGGATGATCTGTTCTCTGGCTTTAGTTATTAAAGCAGAGATTTATTTTTAATTTTTTCGTTTTAATGTCTTTCATCTTAAACTATCTGCTATTACTTTTGGTCTGTAATAGCTAGTATTGTTTTCTTCTTTCTGCATCTTAGACTTTTTTGGTTATCTTTTTATCTGCATTGATAACTTTTTTTGAGTTAATTTTGCAGTGATGTTATATCTCTCTTATTTGTTTCACTGATGCCAATACTTCTCACTGTAGGCAATTTTTATGTAGCCACTGCTACTGTGCTAACAGTATGTGCTATTGTGCTAACAGTATGTGATGCAGGGGGAGTCTTTCTTTTTTAGTCTTATCTGCATTCTTTTTTAGTCTTATCTGCAGGGGGAGTTCTTGTTAAAACTGGATTCTGACCAAATCTATGCCAAAGGGGGAGATTATTGGCGCCAGATTTCTACCGACAAAGAAATCCGCCTCACTTGGGAAGTAAAGATTAGCGAAAGATTTGTTCCCATGTTTATTTTGGAAATTTAGAGTCCTACCTTTGTAATACTTTAGGACTTAGATTTATTTCCTTGTACTTTACTCTTGTTAGGAATCTTTTATAGTTATCTAGATTAGAACTAGATATTGACTAGGATTCTGTTTCCTAGTTATTCGGTTCCTTTGGAAGACAAGTCTTTGGAGGCTGACCTCACGCCTATATAAGGCTCCTCGCCTCACAAAGACCGTGACATTTTTGTTGGGAGAAAAATCACTCCATAGCTTTGAAGAATCGCTGAAACGTTCTGCTGAACAGAACTGTGCCATCGTTGGATGTGTCAACATATACAGATCTGTTGTGTATAGATATCTCGAGAGATCAACCACGTCACTGAAGAGAGTTCAGGCCAGAAAGGAGTTCTAGGCACGCGGTGTGGATCTGCTGTTGGAAGAAACACGGAGTTCGAGTTGTGTACAAGAACGACATATTACATAAAGATAAAGTTTATAGTGTTTTTATTAAGTCCTATTAATGTACACTATAAATCTGAACTAGTGAAATCGTGTTTGCAGGTCCACGTGGATGTAGGACACAATTGTGTCTGAACCACATTAATTCTTGTGTTTTGTTGATTTGCTTTAGTAGAGTATAACTGTGTCAACACGAGAATTACAGTTGTAACTAAAATCTTGTTGCATCTAAACAAACTGTTACAACCTAGAATTACTGAATTTATAGACATATAAATCAACAATATCTACACACTATCTGCTCATTAATAATAGGGTCCATTTGATATACACCCCTCAAATGGAAAATATATAGGGATAGGTTCACCGTTAAAAATCCTTTTCTGAGATACCCCTAGAGAGACAAAAGTATTATTGTGCCCTTATGTGAAATTTTCGCCCAAATGCATTCAACATTTTCACCAACTGCATTTATCATTTTAGACATGCATTTAGTATTTTGTACTGCATATATCATGATTTTTAATTTAATAATTTTCTTTTATTCATGTATATATATTGTCCTATTCTTTTTATTATTATTTTATTTTTTTATAAATTATTTTTTTAATATTTCGATTGTTTTTAATTAGTTTAATTTTATATATTTTTTAATTTTTTTAATTTTTCATTTTTTAAATTTTTAAATTTTTAAATTTTTTAATTTTTAATTTTAATTTTTTAATTTTTTTTATTAATTCAAAATTAGGAAAAATTATTGTACTGAAAGTATACACTATAGTGTCAATAGTCATGTATAGTTATATATAGTCTTATACTACTTTTTTACCCCAAAATTCATCTACACAACCAAAATTCACAATTTGGATCTTGATATTATAAATCAACTAAGAAACAGAAAATGAAAAAACACCATCACATGCATATGTTCTTCAAACATGAACAAACATTACTCTACATTAAAAAAACCTATAGTATACATATAACTATATGTTACTACATGTGCCTATAGTTATCTACAATTATTTATAGTTATATATAGTGACATAAAGTCAAGACTACTATAGCATGAATCCAACTTCACAAGGCACTTCACCGCATATTACGTGTCATAAAATTATAATAAAAGCAAAACCTGCAACAAAAAAATTTGGGCTCCACGAATGGGTGATGTGGGTTAACTCAAAATAAGTACTAAATTCTTATTCATTTGGGTTAACTATTTGGGCTTATAAAATCTAGCCCACATGAAGTTGCAAGTGTTCAAGCCCAACGGCCCAAGTTTCAAGTCAAGAAATCCTCAAATCGATTTCTAGATATTCAAATCTACTTCCGCAAATCAAAGAAGGAATCAAGCTCTCAATTCAAGAACAAGCTTCGTCCCTTGGATTAAATCTAGGAGAAGAATTAGAGGAATCAACAAAGATTGTAACCCGTTTCCACAAAAGGCTGTATACGATGGATATACTAAAAATTCCCATACAAATTTCATAGAAAGGGCCTCCCTTAGATCTCCAGAAAATATAAACAAACATACATAGATTAGATTTTCAAGTCTTCATTACCACATTTTCAAGAACAAAAAAAAATGGCTCCACTTGTAGTTGTGTACTCCTCTCCAAAGAAGGTACTTTTGCTCTGACTAATTTTGCTAATTTTCTTCACTTCAACATACATTTCTTCTGCCAATCAAAACCGACAACAACCACAAAAGATTTCAAGAATGTTGTTAGATTTAAAAGATGATGGTGAAAGTAATCAGCCAATCACTATCAAGAAAAAAACTCACTTCTTCTTCTTCTTTTTCTTCAATGGCAAAATAAGCTTTTTCAACCAAGAACAAAACTAAACTCATTAAGCCCACTGCAATTCCATCAAAGAACCAAACAAGGCTAATCAAAACCACCATTAATGGCGGACTCAAGAACCAGACTAAGCAGATTAAGCTCCCATCTAATTCATCATCAAAAAACGAAACCAAGAGAAGTTCATTAGACTCAACCACTATTATTAAAACCCCACTAAAGAAACTTAATTTCACTTCAAAGAAAACATCCTCGAACTCCACAAACACCAAAAATTCTTCGGATCTACCATCCAACAACAAAACAACAGCAGCAATGAAAAAATGCCAATTAAAAAAAATCATCGCAGAAAATGCCCAAAAAAAAACCCAGCTAGATCGATTCCGTCTCCTCCTCCCACCTAGTTTCAAAATTCAGAGACCTCCCGTTACAGGAAAATACTAGAAACTTAGGAGGTTTTATGGTGAAATTGAAGGGATTAAGCACCAAAACAAAGTAAAGAATGGAAGATTGAAAAGAGCATGAACTTTTGGATTCTTACCTATATAAAAAAACTAGATCTGAGATCTTTGAAAGGGGAATTGAAGATCTGAAGTATTTATATTTGTTAATTTCGTAATTGTAGTATTATTGAAGGACATTTTCGATAATTCACCTGGGTTAGATGTTGGGATTGAAGATGTGATAAGTTGTCAAGCCAATTTTGGCTTGACTATTAATAATTCAATTTGGTGATTATATTAGTGGGGCCACTTGTCAAGGATGGGTATTTCAATCAAACCAAACGTTGTATACGGGAGTACAATTCATCCCATCATGAGTAATAATGCAAACCAAAGCGGCCCTATATATACTGATATACATAGTAATACGCTTAGATACTTAATAACCACAATCAAGAGACATAATAGTGTTAGAGTAGGTGACCAACAAGCCAACTTGTGGCTGTGGTCTTTACATTTATTATTGTAATAGATAATCCTTTTTTGTATTAATGATAAAACACCTTGGCATTCTATATCTTTGTCCATTTGTCAGAAGCATAGATATAGTCCTTACAGTTATTACAAGTACTAGTAATTGATCGTTAGGATCGTGAGATATTTACTTTAGTATTATAACTGTTAAACGTGTTCCTAGTCGAATGGTTACGCCACCAATGAGGATATCAGCCTTTTCCATTAAGAGACTAGCATTTAGTGTATGTGTACTGCATCTCATCAGTAAACGGAATTGTGATATCGGCATGCATAAGTGGGTGCTCGTAAGTTGACGAGTTCACTGAACTCCCTCACCCTAGAAATCTCTAAGTGGTTCTCAATAATCGAGTAGAGATATCTATGGTATAGTTGTACACCATTACTCCTTATGAGCTAGACATCACCGTGACATCACTAAAGGACCAGCTGTATCGTGACATGTCCCTAAGTTCCACCGAGGACCGCCCCAAGGGCCAGTGTTTGTGCAGTCCGAAATGTAGTGGGAGATTTGTGCATTGTAGTCGGGGATTCGATCGCTAGAATAGTCTTGGATGTCTTGTGTGTTCTCATAGTTTGTAATCTCTAAGTCTCTGGCCAGAGCTGACTAAGTGATGATTAGAGAATTTGATTCTCTAAGTCATGCACATACCGACTACAAAACTTAGAACGACCGCATAGTCATTGAACTACTAAGGAGGTCTCGTTGAACCAATGCCTCTAGTTCAATCGGGACATATGAATCGAAGGGATCGTACTGTACGCTAACTATATCAAAAGGTTCTTGCAAGCACTTCATTTGTATCTAAGGAATCGTGCCGCGTAGTTGCTAGACGCCAATCTTGATTTGTTGGGTGATTAAGGTGAAACGAGCTTCATCTTAATCGTAACTCTAAGGGAAGAGTTTTGACCACAAAGGGTTGTGGGCCCATGACTAGCTTACACCTAAACCATCGAGGGTCACACGGCCCGTGCACATGAGATCTTTGAATAAACGGTCAAAGATAAAAATGTTTAATCTTTGCATGATTGGAAGTCAATATGATTGGGTCCAACATTCGTAATTTGGAATTACGAATGAGAATAACAAAAGGAAAAGAATATGCGAACATCTTTGTGGACTTTCTAAATCGGGAAGTTTCCAAATTTAGAAAGTGCACTAAATTAGGGTTTCCACTTTTAGAAAGTTGGAAATCGAGAATTGGCACTCGTAATGATGAGGACATTATAATGATTCCGAAAATGTAATCGTTACAATTTTCTGATCATTGAATTGAGAGAAACGAGCGAGTAAGGAACTAACGAGCTTAAGCTGTTGGGCCGGTCCAACTTAAGCCCGTTAGGGCTTTTATACAAGACACTATAAATACTTGATTTATAGGTCTTGCACAAATACAACCCTAATACAAAACCCTAGCCGCTCTAATCTCTCTCTCGGCCAACCTCAACCCGCGGCCACTACCGCCGCCGTCGCCACCATCTCGCCGGAGTCGGCCATCCCTTGGACGATCGTTTTGGTAGTTCTCTTCTCTTTTCGTTTCTTCCAATTTATTCTAACTATTTCGTGTCTAGTGCCACGTTTTAGTAGATCAAAGTATACGAGATGAAATCCGAGAGGAAGAAGATCGAAGAATCAAAGAATCGAGGAGCAGCCACCGAGCCAACGACGCATGCGCTCCCACACGCCGCCATAAGACAGCGCGTGATCCTCACGCGCCGCCGTTGCTCACGCCGTCGCCGCTGCCGCTTCGCCGTCACCGCTCCCGGATTGCACGGATTGGTTCCCTTGGCAATCTTG